CATCAATTCTAGAAACTCAAACACTTGTATCACAAACAACACAACACCAAAGTACAGTAGTTTTTAAAGGAGTTTCGGATTCCTATATGGAACCACAGCCTGCTATCAGAAATCAAACCACAAGTCAAGATCACGGTAATCAAACCCTCTTACTTTCAAAGGAAAAACATGTATCAAAAAAAGGTTTTAGTTAATCTAACCAAGTGATCGGTGGTTTGTCGTATCTTTCTCAAACCAGTTTGAATGTTTGGTAATTGAGTTTTCTAGATAGGTGTTAAGTCCATTCTATTGATAATCCACGTTTTATCTGTCTGGGCTTACAACTTTACTTCCTTATGGGTCTGCATCTTGATGTTTCTTTACTGAAATAGTTTGGTGTAGAACAGTACATTTTGTTTGAAGTGTTCATCGACTTGATTTAGATAGTGGTTATTGATGTTGGAGTCTTCACGTGTTTTAAGCGCATTTTCTAGATGGTTTCTAAAAGCATCGACTTTTCGAGTTTTGTATGTGCCTTTTCGTTATCGTATACGAATGTGGGGTATGAGTGTTCATGTATCGTTTGAGGCCCGTCCAAAAAAGCTTTGAGAGGGGGGAGGGGTCATTCTTTTAGTTTGATTGGGATTCCTTCTGTTCCGATGGTTGGCAAACTTAAACTACTTCATGTAGCTATATGGATGACAATGTCAACCAAAGTAGGGATTGAAAATTGTTTTAAAGTCTATGCAATTGTTTGTGTACTTTATATTACAACATTTATTTTATTTTGAATACTTTTTATAGCAATTGTACGAATAACTAACGATCCCTACTTTCAGTTTAAATTAAGTTTCTCCTATTTATTGTAATCTTTTTTATTTTTGTTGGGAGAACGAATTAATACGGTGGTGGGGCGAGATAGACACCAGATAAGCAAGAGGTCGCTGTAGAGGTCATACTTTTAAAAAGTTTGTACATCTTGGATTAGTTGAGCTAAATAGTATATATTTATATATAGTGCACTGTTGCTTACCTTCTCGATATTGAGAAAGCATTCTACACTATAGCACAACGGTCTAAAGTTTAGAATGGAGCTACTGCTAGGAATTATTCGCTGGTTATGTAACTTTTTAAACACTGGTAAATGTGGAGGGCACCTACTCGGAGCACTTTACTCCAGAGGCAGGTGTCTCTCGGGGAGGAGTAGTTAGCTCCATATTACTCATCATGTACGTAAACAGACCCTAACTTTTGTTTTGGCTTGCAATTCGCAGACTATGTAGTAATCTGAAAGTTCCCCGATAGTTGCTATAAATTTACAACCAATATTGAATATTGTCAACTGCACAGAATCAAAACAAATCTTCCGAAAACACAGGTAGTTTTATTCTCAACTTCAACCAAAGCACGAATACACCAACCAGAGATGTATTTACACGGTAACCCTACTCTAGAATACCACGTCAGCAAAATTTTTAGATATTACTCCTGACTCAAAATTAACCTGGCAAGAATAATCACAAAAAAAATTTACTCTACAGACCTAGCAAATGATGCATAAATAAATCAAGAGTGTTCTCGTAAATACTTGTCAACTCTGAAAGGGGAATTTTATTATCTTAAATGTTTTTAATATCTATAGGTGAATTTTCAATTGCATAGTTTTACAGATGCACAATTATTGATCAACTGTACCCTAGGAAAAACCCCTGTTTTACATTTTCTGTAGCTCGGACTGTAGTAATCCATACTGGTGTATCTTCAGTAGATGTGATCTACTGAGCCCTTGAAGTTCTATTTTTCTTCGCACAGAAATTACGGAAACTTTACTGGATAGAAAAACTTAATTTTTATGGATTTTTGTTTCAGATTTGGTACATTGATCGATCTTAAATCTACAATTAGGTTTCAAATTTGGTCTAAATATAAGCGACTTGCAAAAGTATTCGACAAAAACACCCAAATCACATGAGCTATCGGTCTGATTTATTTTATTTTATTTTTTACTACAGCTTCACCTAAGAGTAAAGGTGGGCCTTTTTAGCTTTGTCATTAGGATTAAAGACTGCTGATTTAGTGCAGCAAAACTAGTGTGAAAGCATGTGAAGATACACGGGTATTGGTTAGGCCAAGCAAACTAGATTAGCAGTTTCTAGCTCAAGTTTTTAAAGAACCTTACGGATAAACAGTTATTACTCATTGCCAACTTTCAAGCATAAATTTCCCAAATTTATATCAACTAACTAAAGAGTATAGCGTTGTGATATTAGCTTAAGCAATTAGTTTAAATAATGATCCGTGATAAGACTATACAGAGTGCATACGGGTGATGACAAACTGTTAATATAGCTTCCATAGTGTTACTATAAAATATGTTATTAACACTGTTTTAGACAAATTACCACCATATATCTTAAAGAATGCTGTTGGTTCTGTGGAGTATAGATCTGTTACAAATAATAGGGTTGTTCCTAAAGCTAATGTTGGTAATTATCGAGTGTCTTTCTTACTTGCTGTGGTTTTTTGGTGTGTATTGATAAAATGTCATATCTAATGGAAAAACAACTTGGGTGTGGAAAAGTAGGTGCGGTCAAAAATAAAGGATTAAGCGTGCGTGTTTTTTTATTCTATACTCGCCAGATTGATTCGTTAACTCGTTTATTTCAAAACATTCGTTTTAATATAAATGGTAAGACAAACATTCGAGTGTCTGAAACTATACTGAACATTATTATTCTCCATCAGCAAGTGACGGCAGTGGTATAGTATGATACAAAGAATAGGTTTTAAAGAATATCAAGCTACGCCATCCTGCATGCTTCGAGATCGCCATTTCCAGAAATGACTCCTTCTCACGCTTTGGTGAAACTTGTATGGAATTTGTGAGATCTCTTCCAGCGGTCCGACCATGTTGTACTCTTGGTGAGTTTACACAATAATCTAACCAATCCGAATCTTTGTTAAAGAGGAATAATGTATACTTTATTAAATGTTTATAATATGCCGCTAATCGCTTATATTTATTTAACTCTAGTTAAAATCCTCAACTCGCGCGTCGCGTTACTGAAGCACGGAGCCGAACGTGCCCACTCTTAGCTGATTGGACGTTATAAGGTAAGAGCGAATCCCACTATTCATTGGTAAACTGACCAAATGTTGGCGGTGGATGCTGCTGCCTGGTTGCTTTCCCTTTTGTTAGCACCAGCAGAAATAGAAATATTATTAGTTTAAATATATTATATCTTAAATATTTTGTAACTCTTATCCTAAACATTTTATCTAAAATATTTCAAATCTTAAAGTGGCTTTTACTATGAATATGCATGACAACCTGGATAAAGATTATTTCCGTTAGGGCCACACGAAAAGTTAAATCAAATTACGGTTTTAATTGATGCATCGACTGTTTATGGGTCTACCGAAGAAGAGGAAAAAGACCTTCGTAGTTTCCAAAATGGTAGGTGTAGTTGGTATTTTCAGGTAAGACAACTTTTACATTAGCAACAAGATCGTATGTGTATGTGGTATTCTCAGGTAAGATACATTTTCCCACGAGTGACAAGATAGGTCTACAGTTTAAACAGATCTTAACAGAATATGTATTACACAAGTGCTGAATTTTGAAACTTTGAGTTTGTGAAAAGGAAACAAACTGAACACAATGAACAAACGCATTGTGTGCACTTGCTTCGGATTCTGCACACTTGCTTTTACTGGATCTGAATTATTCTTTCTCCAAACTGTACGCTGACAATTTTTAAATACAAATTCAATCCAAACAACGTTCATATTAAAAAAAAAATAATAATAATAAATTCGTTACAAAATCCAGCCAAATCCATCGTAACTTCGTGAATCTCAGCACATATGTTTATTATGAACTAAAGCAAATGTACCGCTTATGACATTCCACGGCCTCTCGTTAGTCAACCTCGACTTTCAATAGCTCTCACGAGGGCTTTTCCAATACTCCAGCCCAGAATCGATCTGATCTATTAACAGTGTGGAAACGGTTCATATATTGATAATTAAAACATGGCTAATTCTTTGGCAATTCTCTCGTCTGTAAACAAAGCCGTGTCGATTTTGTTTAATTCATGTGCAAACAAGATGAACATTTCATCAACAAAAATCGGATGACTACTCCAACTTTTAGCTCTAGTGTATCTCTTGACAGTGTCAATGCACGTTATGTATTGAATTCATAATTTCGCACTTGTGGAATTCTACCATTGGTAACTGTTAACTTTTCAGATCTTTACTTAGCTTTGACAACACTGGAATCGTGACACACAGTAGTATGTTTTGCTTGTACTTCTCTAGGTAAAGTTCACTTCGGCATCACATATATAAATTATGTCGTGTATGTCCAGATCCATGAAAGTGGATACCAACATGGTATCAGAAAATTATCATTGGCACCATCGTTGATTTCAACTTTATGTCCAGTCCATTAACAACATAAGTCCTTAAGTTGATGATCAGGGTCGACTATTAGAAAATTACCTCTTAACACTCATGAGTAGCCTTCCCAGAAAGCATATGTCAAACTGTATTGGAACCGTAGGTTGTCCCAAAAACCTGACAGTCTATAGCATCCCTAATCTACAAACTATATCCATTGACTTAGTTTCTGACTATTTCCAGCTACTTTGTTCAGAGTGGTTGGTTGGTTAAATGTAATGCAGGGTGTTATGTTTAGAGTTGCTGTTTGAAAATTAACGTGAAATAAATAGTTATCAGCTGGTTGTAGATCCTATTATTGATAAGAATGTAACTTTCGAGACTCCAGAATAATCACCGCTTGAAACATGCTGCACATAGTCGCACCAATTAGGACGTGGTTTTGACGAAATACGATGAACATTTGTTGATGGTAGGATGAACGCTTGCTGAAGGTGTTCATAGGGCTTCATAACAAGATGTGAGAATGGTGGCTTAAGATGAATGTATGTTTCAATGGACACGAATTTGTTAAATGCCAATGCTTTTGATCTGAAAACCGTTTCGTTTTACAGTATAATATCAAGGCAACTAAATTAACTGTAGTTGCCCCATTCCGTGAAAAGATCCTGAACTATCTAATGTGCCAATATTATGACCTATGTTGTCAGCTACGAATTGAGTGAAAGCTTTTGGATAGCATTTGATTTTTTTGTTTCCGTCGCTGTTTGATTTAGAACAACTAATTGCTTGAACCTGTGGACTTCAGAATACGAAATATAAACGCCAAGTCTGTATAACTCGTCAGTTAGCCACTTTTAGCCAAACACGGGATCAGCTTCTACACTGACTCCAAAAAAGAAGTATAGCAGCATGAGGTCGAGCTGCCTTTCCAATGTTTTGTTCTATTGCGGACTGCTTAGTTTAAGTAGGTACGTTGATGACAAACATCTGTAGCAACTCTTGAATTCAAAGGTTATTTGTACTTTCTTTATCATAACTGTTGAATAATAATCGGTTAAGTTTCGTTTCTCTCATTTTTCACGTAAGAGCTTTGCTGCGTTTAGGACTATTTTTCAGTATTTTGTCTTCGTACCAATTGTTGTTAATAATATAAGTTCCAATGTTTTGGAAACGGGAGCATTATGACGCCCTTGAACTTCGGCAAAATATAAATGATCACCTTAACGCTCTATCATCTTTAGCCATTTCTTGGTGAAAACCTCCATTTGAAAAATCGACTTTTTTTTTCGTGCAGCTCATTCAAAGTTCAATCTATGATTCGATCTCCAACCACTGGCACATCCTGTCAAATGTTTCTAGCATTACTTTATCAATTAGACGTCGAACACTTCTTCACCCGATTCACATAAGAATTGTTGATAACACGAGAGATGATAAACTTTCTAGAGTAACAAAATCAATACATGCACTTCAGTCTCTTCTGGAGCGTTCTTCCAACTTCAACATCATGCCTGACGGTGTAAGTATCTACTACAGCAATCTTGTTACAAATAAAACGTTCTTTAGATTTGGATGTAGATCCAGGCAACCTCGGCTTCTCTTTTCGTGGCGACAGATTTTTAATGCCTTTTTTACTCGCTTTGGGTCAGTGAAGTCGCGTCTGCATGTATGATATCCCCATAATTTGGCACCAGGTGTTAACTCTCACTCTTGCAAATGATTCGGAGTATTGGCTTTACGCTTCTGGCAGTATGTTTTCAAAATTAACACATCTTGTGGTTGTGACATTTAACATTTCATCACTTCCAGATTCTTGGTTTTTATAGCAAGTTAAACGTGCATCTTCACCTATAGCTAGAACACCATGTTCAACTGCCATTTTGCTGGCAAGTGAAAAACAATGTACAGAAACTAACAAGCAACACTTGAGTTTAAAACATTCATCTGATATAAGCGCGCACACAACTAAGACTAATACCAACAACGGTTACCAAACAAGCACAGTCAATTCCTTTTACTTCATAAATACTGTTGATAATCCACCCAGCCACAAGTATTTTTTTTAATCAAGTAAAAGCATCTCAAACAGGAAGTTGGTTATAATAATAAAATAAGCTAAACTATGTAGCTCGGAGGACAGTTTAAAAATGCATTTCAAAATCTGCTGGCGCAAAGAAAGTTGAGTACATGTAATACTTGTCTGTACTTTATTCAATTAATTCAAACTCGAGGGGTTTGGGAACTAAATTACTCATGAGTATTGCTTCATATAACTCTTACATCTGAAGGAAAATGCAAAAGGTAGCAATGATTGAAAAGATTTCAGTCCTTATTTTTAGTTTAGCGTAGCAATAACTTTTTAGTTCCGCTACATCTAGAAATTTCGTTAATTTACAATTACTTACTCAAACAGCTATGAACGAAATTCCCCAAGATGGCTTGCTGCGGGTTTAGTATATTTTATACAGTATAAAATGTTAACTTTTGGTACTAAATTTAATTCGTTATAAACTTATTTCAGGTTTCCCTGCATTTCTGACTTTATTGAATGTACTATTAATTTCATATGCAGTAGTATACACTTTATCAACTTGTTTATATAGCTGTGCACGATTTACCAAACGTCGCCTGTTTTAACAATTAATGTATAGTACATCGCTACCATCGACCAATAAAGAAAATATTAAGATAATTTAGTTGATTATTAAACAACTTTATACCAGACATTAGTTAACTCTCAAAATATCACTATCACAACGACCATGTAGGCAGCACACACTTAAAAGTAAAATGGAAGTTAAGGATTAAAAAAGATGTGCAGGTACAAATTCTGTGGAGTGTTTTAATTAACTAAATAAGGGATTGTTTTTCGTTTTTATATAAACTTTAGGCAATATTTTCTAATTATGATTGTTCTGGTCAGGTGACGAGCGAGTTAACGAACAAGTTGACCTAGCTGTTCTCCACACTGTTTTCATGAGAGAACATAATCGGATAGCCAGACTTTTGTCTTCTCACAATCCAGGCTGGAATGACGAGATTCTCTACCAAGAAGCACGACGTATAGTCGGTGCCGAGATGCAACACATAGTGTTTAACGAATTTTTACCGTTACTGTTAGGTAAGAAATATTTTTCTGGTACAGGGTAACTGAATATTAAACATTACAAACTAATCTATAGTTATTCACTAATAGCTGCAGTATTGAATTTTTGTGTTGCATAAAAACCTTCAACAGGTAGGTACAGACGCTCCAACAATTGTTGTATGCAAATTATTTTTCTATAACAACAAGGCAATGCAAGTTACTATTTTTAAACAATCATCACACTGTTTTATTTATAATCTCAAAGAATGGAATAGTTTGTTTTTTTCTCTAGTCATTACTCGTGACACTATTATAAAACTTGTAGTGACTTTGAATTCTGATACGGTTAATAAACCTTGTACAATTCTCTTGTATTGAACATTTTAATGATGTAGATACATGTTTTAGGTTTCACTAATTTCATTTTTAATCACATTAGGTAGACCGGTAATGGGGGAATTTCACTTATTGTTAAAACCATACGGATTTAGCAAAAGTTACGATCCAGAAATCAACCCTGCAATTGCGAACTCCTTCGCTGCAGCTGCTTACCGGTATGGCCACACGCTTTTGCAGGTAGGAGAAAATTGTTCTTAATATTTAAGTACTGACGTAGTTGTATTAAACAGGTATTTACATGAAACGCGACAAATTTTTCATATGTAAATCTATAAATCGAAAATTAAAATGTTTAAACTATTTCACAGCATGCTGAACCTTGTTGATAAAGTCAACAACGTGGTGGACAGATTTCGTCTTTCTTCCTCCTTCTTCAACCCCTTACGTTTGTACACACCTGGAAATTTTGACAAGTTGTTGCGGGGGCTGGTCAGACAGCCTTCTCAACAGTTTGACTCTCTTATCACTACAGAGGTTAGTTATTAATGTCTTGTAAGTATTTAAGTGTCTTTCTTTCTTTTGGAACTAGATGTTATCATAGTACGTGACCGTTCACTAAGTCTCCAATTCATCAAGTTTCATCAGGTATTTCAATGTAATCACAAACTGCGTAGTAAATTCTGCGAATTTAAAAACTATTTAAACTATTTCAGTTTAATTGTAGAATCTTAATATCATAAGAAATGACTATTAGTAATACATCTAAACAAAGATGTTTATTTTCAAGTATAAATATAATTTAATGGTTGCATTGCTAATTAATTTATGCTCTCAATAAGCAATGAAGTTACTCAGAATTTCAGTTCCTCAAAATTAAATATTGTATTAAACAAGCAAATATAAAGCGTTAATAAGTTAAATCAAATCCTTTGAACTTTTCTCCTTTCTGTAACAGGTAACAAACCGCCTTTTTCAGCCTCCTGGTCAAGATTTGGGGATGGATCTAGTAGCTATGAACATCCAACTTGGACGTGACCACGACATCTAAGGTTATAATGCGTGAAGAAAATTCTGCGAACTACCGACGGTAGTTTAAGGATCTGAAGCAATGGATAATTTGAAATCAGCCTTTAGCAAACTTTATCGGTATTATGCTAATGATTTCACTACACCCCTTTGACAAACATTACACAACTTAGTTAAGTGTCTTTTTTGTTTCTTTAAATGAAGAGAACGTTTTGGGACAACATAGAACCTGTTGGTCCATCTTGGCTGTTCCATCCTCTAAACTAAAATTATTTAAAAAATTTCAAAAATATCTTGTAGCCAGCCCTTATTCATACTTATCAAGCTTTCTTTAAACTCACTTACTACATCCACAACAGCCAAAGGCAACTCATTCCGAAGGCTAACCACCCTATTAGAAAAATAACTGTCTTAGCTGAAGATGACTCCTATCTTACCAAAATGTATACTTGTTCCCTAGTCCTACTATTCTCACTGTTAAGTATGAAAAAAGATGATGCATCAACACTCAATTCCCCTTACAATTTTAAATACTTCTCTCAGATTTCTCCCCCCATAACATTTTCTCTTGATTTATAAAAATAAATAAATTGAGATTTCAACCTCTTCTCACATGTCAACCCGTTCATCTCTGGCACTGTTCGAATGGCCATTCTGTGAACCCTTTCCGACAGTTTAATGTCTTTCCTAGTCTAAAGAGTCGAAGACTGAATAAAATTTTCCAAATGTAGCCTAATCAGTGACTATAAAGGAAATTAACCTCTCTATATACAACCTAAAATCCTATTTGTCCTACCTCTAGTAATACCACACTGCTTATATGGCATTAAAGACTGATCAACCATTACACCAAGATCCCTTTCTTTGGCACTGTTAAGGTTATTCCCATCCAAATTACACAACTCAAATTATGAGAACCCACAAGAATTGTCTTCCATTTATTAAAATTAAAAAAAAACCTTGCTATTTGCTCAACTTGTTAAATGATCTAAATCCTTCTTTAAATCAGCAGCATCCTCTTCACAGCTAGAAACCCTCAAGACCTTAATATCAGCAAACTTAATTGATTTATTGACCATTCTTTCATCTCTCATTGATGTAACTCAAAAAGAGCAAAGATCCTAAGATTGAGCCTTGAGGTACCCCACTTGTGACATGAATCCAGTATGACTGAACTCCATTTGTAACAATCCTTTACTTGCTTCCATCCAGACACTCTTCTATCCAATTTGATAACTTATCCCCCCTCCCATACCTGATTTTAAAAAAATCGCTTGGGTTTGAAGCAAAAAAAGATGTCGATGTCCTCCTTAACATCTCCCACATTTTCATGCGTTTTCCCATTAAGATGGTGTTGCAGAGAACGAAAAAGATAGTAATCTGATGGTGTCATATCTGGAGAATATGGTGAGTGGGGCTAATGAAAGTATTCCAAAACGTGACATTAATCACTTGACGACCTAATATCAAGATCCTTTATTAATTTTCAGTTCAGTTAAGTGAAATTAGGGAATCAAGTCTGTCTCGCATCGTCTGCGACAACAGTGATATGTTCCAGAAAATTCAACCTTTAGCTTTTTTTGCAACCAAGAAACCCTTGGTAAATTTTGGATCTATTTCTTTAGTTTCTGTAACTAATACATTCCTAAATATTAAATGGCATTACATATGTGAGTTGGATTTGGTCTTTTGATGTATTAATCATTTGATAAGAATAGTTTGTAAACTACACACGATCATAGTCAAAGACGATAGTAATTTAGCCAAAACCTCCATGAGCAATTCATTAATCTTTATTATTTTTATGAGAAGATAGATTCTGAGAATTACGAAACATATAGCAAGATAATTTATATTTTCTAAGAATGTTAACCTTAAATCAACCATTTGTACTCTATGTTTATTAAAGCTGGTACATTTGTTAACAAGTAATTTATTCCATGATATGAGTGTAAAAAGTTTGAAAATACTTAAGTGTTTTGATATAAATATTGTAACAATAAATACCTTCTTTACAGATAATACAGAATTTCTTTTACCATTAAATGTAGCCTGTATTTATATTTTCTTGTATACATCTCAATGAGCTGGAAGCTAACTTTCTTTTGTTGTTATTATTATTACAACCCTTTATATATTACTTCAAGTAATCTACATTATTTATGACAGCTGATAAGAACATAGTCCTGGGAAATTTATCACCTATATGCACAAGAAATAAGTAAAATCGGATTCTACTGGTCTAATAATTATGATATTTAAATTGTAAAACCATGGCTTTCTACATTTGAGCTAAGTGTGTAGGGAGGGAATTTTCTTCTTTGCATAAAGCCATGTATAATATAGACAAATCAAGTTTTGATGTATCAGTTAAATTGATAAAATCAATACCAAGAGCACTGTAATTTAAATATTCTCAAATGCGGTATTTAGTTTTATACTATGGGCAGAAATTCCATGATATTAATTGAATATTGGATATTAATTAGAACAGCGGTTCTTAAACTTTTTTCGAGGAGGGGGTGAAAATGTGAGGTTTTGATGACGCCACCACCTTCAATAGTCTTTCTTTACCGGCCCTATTCCATGGGTTTCCATTAAAATGAAATACCATCTCAACTACATAGTACGCCACTTCCGGCGAGGCCTTTTGCTCGGCCTGACATAATATCGTAATTACCACTTGACTTGGGACCCCACCCTTTCCGAAACACTAAATCTAATATCCTCTCCTTTCTCGCTGTGGTATGTGTTATGATATGACAATTCGTTGGTAAAGTGTAGCTCATCAGTTGGTGGTGTCAACCAGTTTCTTACCCTGAGATGGCAATTGAAATCTAGAGAGTGGCAAATAGCTAGCTTTGCTATGAACACCAGCCTTTTGGTTAATACCAGAACTCGTTTGTTCAGCTGAGAATGCAACACGGAGACTTATTGTTACGTAATGTTACACAAACGATGAATTACACATCACTGCTATTATTTTTTTTTCCAAATGGATATGCCGCCTGTTCTAACCTCTCGCACCACTATATAGCATGGTCAGTCAGATAGTATACACTAAAATGACGCCACAAGGGACACTTGACGCTGCAATGAATCACAAGAAGAATTGTGCAATCTGTAGAGTACAACAGGAAAGCAAGTAATAAAAAAGTACTCTATTTTGGTTTTATTTACTCTTGAAACAACAATTTTGGAGACCCGGCAGAAGTACATCTAGTATACTATCATAATTAACATTGAACATTTGTCACAGTTAACCGTTTAAATTCAACAGCAGAAAACTTAACTTGTTCCAATTTTAAGGTGTTATTTACAACGTATTTTTACTTTATATACAGCCCTTGCTTTCGTTTCCTCCGGGTACATGTTTACCCCCCCCCCCTCAAAAAAGTAATTAACTTTAGATCGGATAATACCGAAAAGTACCAAGATATCTATTAGTAGCGGCTAACGCAAATTTCAGAGAAATAACAATGAAAGATAACGTTAACTAGGAATTTTAAATTTGATTACTCGCTCAAATGCTCAATTATACTTGATAAGTGCAAATATTTCAACTGACTACTTCGATCACAGGAATCCTCTGGTGTCTTGTAACAGTACTTTGATTCCACGACTTAACTTCCAACCATGGCGGAACGAACCAGTCTAGAGCTAAGCCTAATAACAATCTGGAAACGGCGTAATCATTCTAGTTTTTAATATCAATGTGAATGTCTTTATTCTAGCTTAAATAGTATTTTATTATTTGTATTAATATATTTAATTTCATTATTCATACTTTGTTTTTAGCCAACATCTTAACTATATAAACAAACTGGTTTTACTCGGGAAAAATAAAATTATTGTCTTAATTTCTTTTTCTGTATACATTCCAATTACTACTGTTTATTTTGAACGAAACTGTACTATACACTCTTGTTTTGAAAACCCTGTAAGACTGAGTAAAGAATGTAGTGTTAAATTTAATAGTAGTAATACTAATCCTGTGGCAAATATAATTAAAAGGAACCGTAATTTAAACTTATTCCCGAAATTATATCTAAACTCTATGAAAACAAACAAGTCTCATCTATTTGGGGTGACGATTTATTTACAGATATCATTAAAGTTATTAGTAAATCCGGTTTAGTGCACCACAAGAGTTGTCGTGCATTACAGTAAATCTTGTTGCACTACGTATAACTATTTTACTCCTTTGTTGTAGCGTTAATTATTTCAATACAGAGGAACTAAGATCGACTTCCGCGTCTAGTCGGTGGATTGGGTAGATACATGATTTATACTCTTATTTATGGAACATTCAATTTTAGACTCCTCATCAGCTGGAATAAGATTTACATGAGAAACCTGAACATCTGTTTATACTTCTTTTTGACATTTTTTTCGCATTTGTTCTTCAGTAATTTTCTTGCGTTCAACAGTCATAACTCTGATACTACCTTATTAAAAGTACAAAGTTTAAATAATAAAAATGAAAAGTTCAGAGAATGATAATCTCGGTCAGAATAGTAATATTGTATAAATTATAAAATCGCTTACATATCTTTAGAAACGTTCGTGTTATAATTACTATAGAGGATCTCAAATACGTTGTAGTAATTCCAATATACGCAAATTATAGACATATCTTTATAGTAATTATAACGAACGTTTCTAGAGGAGCTCAAATACGTTGTAGTAATTCCAATATACGTAAATTATAGACATATCTTTATAGTAATTATAACGAACGCTTCTAGAGGAGCTCAAATACGTTGTAATAATTCCAATATACCCAAATTATAGATATGTTTATAGTAATTATAACGAACGTTTCTAGAGGAGCTCAAATACGTTGTAATAATTCCAATATACCCAAATTATAGACATATCTTTATATTAATTATAACGAACGTTTCTAGAGGAGCTCAAATACGTTGTAGTAATTCCAATATACGCAAATTATAGACGTATCTTATAGTTATCAATATTCTCTAAAATATTAAAGTAGAAAAAAAAGCAGTATGAATAACTTTTTTTAATTTGGAAGAGCTAAATACTGAAGAGGCACTATTAAACTTCATACAAAACTGAGTGTGCTTTTAGATCTAAATACATTTTATACAACCAAACGGCCGTGCATTAAATGGTTTAAATC